TGTTCCCGGCGACCTGATGTGACCGTGACAGGCGCTGTCACACACCGCTCCTCTCTCCCTCGTTGCTGGAAGCGCAGTTTGGTGCCTACTGAAGATGGTGCCGTATGTCCACATTGGCTGTAGTGCTGTGACAGTCTCGGTGCCGTGTCTCATTTCAGTACAGTAGTGAGGGGGTGAAAGAAGCCCTGTGTGTAGTTTAGGGGGTGAATTGTGGCCCCCTGCCTGTCTGCTGCTCAGGTTGCTGGGGTGTTCTGGCATGCCACGATGATCTGTCTTAAGACTGAAAATGAACATATGAGACTCAACATTGTGCAAACTTATTTTGATGGGCAATGATCCTTTGGGCTTTACCCATTTACACAGCAAGTGTTCTACTTTATGTATGTATTTAGTTATTGTCATAATTGTGGATATGGGTAGGGGACTGTGTAAATTTTGACTCGGGATTTATGGAGCACCACCCTGGCAAAGAATTATTGAAGTGGGAAAGCTACTGTAGAATGCGTGTTCTTTTGTCACTTCCCAGTCCTTCTGACAAGCCATACTAATCAACAGGTACAATCTTAGCTTTGGTTTTTTTAGTTGTTGTTGTTTTGGCTTGGTTTTTTGTCCACCTTAGCCTGAAAAAGGATCTGTGAACCTCTGAATGGAAACTCTCTGGATTCCCCCTGGAAGTATCTGTTGAGCAATGCTAAACCCACTCCAAAACAGCCACCTTTACCAGTAGGATGTGTTGAACTGGACTCGACTCTGTGTTCTTTGTGAACACAAGCAAGGTGTGATTTCCTGCCTATTCAAGTGTAGTCCTGTCTGCAAAGTGCTGTACAGACCTTCCCTAACAAACACAAACATAAGCAAAATTAAACCACTTGATATTTCTAGATTAAAATTCTGCACGTTGCACTCTAATTTCTAGTTTGTCCCAAATCTTGATCCATATGAAAAATAAAAGTATAAGCTGTTTTATTTTGCCATCTTATTTTCATGAGAGGTAGGAGCTGTTTGTGGGAAAGAATACTGGAGAGGTGTTCTCAAGTGGACAGAAGTGGTATAAAGAACAGACTGGTTTGGTGGGGTTTTTTTTTCCTCTTGTACTGCTTTTTCAAATTTGAGAGCAAAGACTGTTTTGAAAGCTGGTTTTCCACAAGGCCTGGTTGAAATGAGGTGTGTGAGATACCTCAGTTTTGCTTCTGTGGTGTCCTGCTTGAGACAGGAGCAGTGAAGGCAGCCTGACTCTCCTTGGCGAGCATCAGAGCCATCAGTTCTTGGATAGGTTCTTCAGCACTCGCTTGGCCACCTGCTGTTAATGGTTCTCTCATTCAGAGTATTCTGTAAAAGACAGGGCTGGATCTCTTTTCTCCTTGGTTTCTGCTGCTTTATGTCCCACCAAAGCTGTCTTACAAAATAGACAAGAAGCCCGAGTTAATGGGCTTCCTGATTAAAAACCGGGATTGTAGGTATTCACCAATCATCAGGTGCTAAAAGGGCTCTAGGTAAACAAGGCTTATGTAGGGGTTTCCCTGCCTCGGGATGGGTTGTCCCGTGTCACTGAGAAAGGAAAAACAAACAGCTGGTTGGACTGTTGTATTTGCTTGTTTTGACAGCCACATCTGTGCACAGAGACTAGCGAGAACCTCTCCTTGCAAAGCAGTGTTATGTTGTAGGATAAACAAGTATTTTTAAATGACAGAAGGGTCCCAGTGACAATAAAAAACTTCAGAGGCTTTCTCTGCCTTGATGCCTAGGTATTAAGAATGAGTTTTTCTTTTTTCCCCTCCCCCTGTAAACAGCAGAGAAAGGCTCTGCCCGTGCCTGGTGGGAACAGCGTATGTGTGCCATACTCACAGGAGCAAAGGAAAATTCCTTCTTTAACTCACAGTGATATTTACAAGGATCCTGCACAGATGGTGTTCTGCAAATCAAAGCAATGAATCATTAGCTCATGATTCTGAAATGGTTGAAAAGCATTTGTAGAGAAGCTTAAATTTAAGCTTGAGTGGCCTAGCAAGCTGATTTGGGAAGGAGAATTATGTTAAATTAATTGCAATACTGAGTAATCAGTGAATGCTTCAGACATGCTGGCTGAAGACTCTGGGATTCTGTAACTACAAATTTTGTTTCTATAAAACCACGTTGCACTTTGATAGGAGATGTCACAGATGTAATCTGCAAATATAGCCTGACTTGCCTGCGTGAGTGTGTGCTTCAGAAATACTTGCTATAGCGAGGTGCTTTGGGAAATTCGTGCCTAGGAACTTTTTTGCATCAAGAGCACACAGCAATGGAAAGGCAAAATAAGATTTTCTCTAGTGAAGAGGCTGGATGAGAAGAGAGTTTTTGTATCTCAATAGATTTGTAATGAGGTTTGTACAAAACATTTACATGTTTCTGTTTGGATTTTTCCTCTTTAGCAATAATGGAAATCCATCCTTTTCTAAAGGAATAATGATTCCAATCTTCTATATTTTTTCTTTCTTCAAGTTGTTTTGTATGTTTTGAGTTACTGTTTTGTATTTTTCATCTGTATATAACTGAATACAATCAGAGAATAAAATTAATATCTATTGGTGACTTTAACACAGCCAGAATGTATATAAATTGCTCTTTGTTCTGTTTTGTTTAGTACTGTGGCAAAGCAAGATCGTAGCATATTGAAGAGAACTTCTTGTATCTCTTCTTATTGTCTGGAGCCTAAGGATCTCTGATCATGTTCTTTTTATAACAGTTTCACCTGCATTAAAGGCAGGCTACAAATGAAAACATTTACAAATGTTTCCTTTCATGAAAAATTGGACATAAAAGCAGAGAATGGTTTTGGCTGAAAGAATGCCACTGTGCAGAAATGAGCTCCGAAAGAGGCCTAGTATGGTCAGCAAAAAGAATTTGAATAACCACAACTTACAATGTGATAAGACTTTCATTAGTCAATTCCTTTTATGCCTTTAAATGCTTAATGGCAAAGCACAAATAGAAGCCTTTCTGTCATATCATAAGTGTCATCAAAATAAGAGTTCCATCTAGAAGATAAAGTTTGGTAATTTGAGACCTAAACCAAGACTGTTCCTATTGCATTAAAACCAGAAGTACCCTTTCAAATTATGTATCTGTTAAAGTAAAATTTTATTCTATAACTTTGAATTTTTCATGGTGATGACCAGCATGTGTAGCTTTGTCTGTAGTTTATCTTTTTGAAATCAAATGGCTTTTGGCAAGACATAAAAAGGTGTATCTTTCTCTCCCTTTTTCTCTAAGATCTTAGTGGCTCCATAACAACTCCAGATGTTAAGCTAAATCTCGGAGGAGAATTCATCAAAGAATCTACTGCAACTACATTCCTAAGACAGAGAGGGTATGGCTGGCTTCTGGAAGTGGAAGATGATGACCCAGAAGATAACAAACCACTCCTGTATGTCATAATTATTTTGGGGTTATCTGTCTTTATTAACTGCATAGAAAAAACAAACAACTCGCAGCATCTCAAGTTGCCCCACAGCCTTTTGCTGTGACTAGAATTCTATTTGACAAATTACTTTACTGATGAGGTTTTTTTTCTGGTGCAGGAATGAAAACATCATGTTTCTCATTATGGGTTTTATTTTTAGTGTAAGAAAGGCTCGTTATTCACTGTGGGGGAGAAAGGAAGGAGGAAGTAAAATCCAATTTTATTAATCTCCATAAGTATAAAGCTCTTATGGCTTTTCCGCTCTTCTCTGTTGATCTTGTAGTGGTTAAAAAGTCAGATTGTATCTTTTGCACTGAGACTGTGAGTTTCTTAATGCTGTCAAAGAATCAGAGGCTTAAGACAGTCCTGTGGAAAGATTCATGTTAAGTAAATTCCGTCAGTTCCTCTGAAGTAAATGCATTGTGAATCATGCTTATTACACTAGGGATGCTAGAATCAAGGAAGTACAAACTTTATACTTATATTATAAAAGTAGACTAAAAGGGTGTTCGTGTTGAAAGACAAAAATGTCCTTAAAACAGAAAATCTCTGCATCCCTTGTTCTCTTCACAGAAATGTGGTTGGCTGAAGAAAGTTTGTGTCTTAAGGTTACGGCCCTGTGGGTCAGGCAGCCTGGGTCTTAGTCCGTGTTCTGCACCTAAGCAACTTCCTTCTCAGCATCTCAGTGTTTTCCTGTGTGAATTAAAGATAATGATACTTCAAAAATTGAGAAGGCAGGAGAGTACTCTGGAGAGCTCAGTGAGTGTTGAGAGAGAGCTTAATAGTGAAACTGCTACTTGAAAAACACTTTGAAGTGTGCAGAAGTACACACTTCCTTGTGTGTATAGGTCTGTGCAAATAAGTCTGTTCTGTAAACTTCTAACTTTTAATTAAGAAACAGAATGGTGCAATGAGGTGACAACGTATGCACTCCCTCTTTTGTGAAACTTTTCATACCACAAAACCCAAGTTTGTGATTCAGAGACAGCTGGGTATTCTAAGCTGCTGACTGCTGTAAGCCAGGAGGGCGTGTGGAGAAATGGTCAGTTTGTGGCAAAGAGCATGAATGTAATCATCCTAACAGAGAGACCTTAATCTGACTTTCACGTAGCAGTTTTTATGCAGTTCTGATTATCCCTAGAACATGTGCTGCCATGAAGCTTTGTAACCTGAATCCTGCTAAGGATTTAAAGAATAGCAGCCAGCTAAGGGAAGGTCACCAATGGAGCAGTACTGTTGCAAGTGTTTTGTTCAATAGAGTGAGGGGTTTTTTTTTCTTTCTCATTGGGCAGCTTTAGTCCAAACACTTGTTTCCTGTTACAGCTGCCATCACTTCTTTGGTGAGGTAGCTGTCAGCTTCATGTGAAAGACAGTTTATTCACACAGGAAACTGTCAGAAACCCTAGGCAATGACAAAGAATTATTTCCAGGCAGGAAATATTCATGTTGCACAATCTTCAGAGTAAAATATGGGAAAGCTACATCTTATTTATATAAAAGGAGGAAAACAGATGCTTCTAGTCTATTCCTTAGATTGAGGGATGTGTTAAAGAACATTTTTTGTTCTTTGGTCACAGGTTAGTACAACGAATTCTGAAATGGTTTCAGTAATAGCAATCCTGAAATTGCCTTGAGACACTTAATGAGCAGTATTTAGTTGTTTGGGGTTTTTTAAGTAAAATTGTGGTGAATCACATCTTTGTTTATTTCCTCATCTTTTCTGAGGAAAAAGCCATGAATCAAAGCCTTATACAAAACTTTCATAAACAGACTTAGGATATTATTCTACATTTTTCTCCACTGTGCTCTTAAATGTAGAGCAGAGGGGTATGTGCTGTGAAGTCTCTTGTAACTCTTCAGAGCTCCTGAATAAGGAAAACACTAGTGTACACTTTTGTCCTAAAGTTCTGTGCATCAACTTAAAGAAGTAGAATTGCCCGTTACTTGGGAAGTTCGCTTCCTTGCCCTTACGCTAGGACAAGCTGGGCAAGATGTACCAGTTAAGAGCTTCCTGTGCAGAGGAATCTTCTGGTCAATTTGTAGCTGCTTACAGATAGTTTGTAGCAGAGAGTGGAGAAGGCAATTAGAAAAGAGCAAAATTTGTTGATAGAATTTATTGCTCGCTTAATTGGCTTTTATTTATTTTTACCTGTATTGGAAACAAGCCAGTAATTAAACAATGGGCATAAACTGGTCTGCTGAAAACTACTGTTGTTGAAGCAAGTTAAACCCCCCCCCCCCCCTTTTTTTTTACCTGAGGTATTTTGAATTGTTTAGGATTAGTGAATGTAAAGGTATTCTTTCTTGTAGGATTTGAAATAATATGTTTCCCTGAGTGTGCTCATAGCAAACTGCTCAGCATAGGAATACAGAGACATCCTACTTTTGTGTGTGCACGTACTTTAAGTAGTTACAGTGCTATGAATGTGTCGTGTGTTCCTGCATGTCAGAAAATAGATCTACTGTCTTTATGTAGACTGTTAGGGTATGTTGTGTATGTTTTCTATTCTCAGTCATGTAGTTGATTTTCAAATAATTAAATATCTCTAACTGTGTCATACCAGTTACTGAATGTGGGATGAAGGTATGGTGTTGCTTTGTTGTGGGTGACCTGTTCCTTAGCCACGGTTTCAGGAAGTCTTACGGGTGACAAGGGGCTTGCTCTATAACCCTGCTGTTTGCCCCTGAACTTACTTTTTAATGTTGTATTTCGTTACTGTGGTGTATAGTAACGTTCCCTTGCTGTACAATTTCAGAGAAGAACTCGACATTGATCTGAAGGATATCTACTACAAAATTCGGTGTGTGTTGATGCCTATGCCATCTCTTGGATTTAATAGGCAGGTAGTGAGAGACAATCCAGACTTTTGGGGTCCTCTGGCAGTTGTCCTCTTCTTCTCAATGATTTCATTATATGGACAATTTAAGGTAGGTGTAAGCCTTCTACCTGAAAAGAAATCTAAACTAAATTTGGGGACATGATTGCTAAGCAATTTACATTCTTGCATGGGTAGCAAGTCTTTTCCTCACACAGTAATGCTGGGCACTTCAGATGCTGTTTCTCAAGTTAATAAGTAGAAAGACAGCGCTAAGAAATGTATGAAGTAGCCCACGGATAAGTTAATCATGATGAAATGTCAGGTTTGGTTTTATACAGTAAAACAAAGGAAAGATGTGGTTTCTAGAGGAAACAGATTGATGCTAATGGCTTTATAGTCATATTAGTGAATCTTTCCATTTTAATTGTGACCTTTTGTTAACATGCTTTTTATTACTAAAAAATGATACCAAAAAACATTTGTTCGGATACCGTTAATTTCCTGACAAATAAAGCTGCTTGTTTAATTCATACTATATCACAACTCTTATCTGGTGTATTTAATTTTCATTAGTGTTCTTTGCTGTTTTGTCCTCCCTGCTCAATTACCATCAAATAACTTTCCTCTGGTCAATAGGCTTTTTCCATAATTCCTGTTGAACTCTAGGGTAAATAGTTATTCAGAGGCATCGTGCAGATTTAATTGGCCTCCATAAACACCATTAGCTTTTTTTCTTTGTGTTCAGATGGAAATAGAGAAGTGGTATCATTTATAGTCACAATTTGAATGTGAGCCTAGGTGTTCCTGCTTTGGAAATCTTTATGACTGTATGTGTAGTTACAGTTGTTTTAAATACAACTTAGTATAGCAGTAAGCCATATGTAAAGTAGCAGAATGTGCTTATGCAAAGATTTTTGGGAATTATGAGATAAAATCATTTCCTTTGCAACCTCTGGCTTCCATATGGTGTACCAAATGCTAAGAACTCACTCTCAGTATCTTGTTTCTATGAGACTTGAAGTGAGTAGACTAAACCACTGTATAATTCAAGTGGACCATTTAGCTGTATCCTGGGCAAAGCAAGGACCATTCCTTGATCCCATGACAGATAAACTACCTTCTGCAGCTCATATACCCACTGGAATGAAGAGAAGGTGTGATGTTTCTTAGGAACAGTGGATTTAACATACTGATGTAAGAGTGCTGTATATGTGTGAGGAGGAAAAGCTAGAAGCTAGCAAGAGGATGACTGGCAGCAGCTAGGCTAGATGAACTGAATGATGGGCTGTGAACTGGCGAGAGATGAGCATTCTTGCTCTAAGACTTTAATCTGGTCCTCTTATTTTAGACAGTGGAGGAAAACAGAAAGTAAAAGGAGGCCATATGTATGCTATTTTCACAAATAGCATAAAGCTGTTATATTTATCTCTTTTTTTTTTTTTAAAGTGGTGCTGTGATTTTTATCTGTTTTTCCCCTCTTTGATTCTTCTAGGAATCTGGGATTTTTAATTAAGTAAAATATTGAATTGCGTACTAACTTCATTTTTAAGTTCAGCCATTGTACATTTGGAAATACAGAGACTGGACTGATATTGTTGTTTCCTTCTAAAAAGGTATTTCAAAAGGGAGAGTTTCACTCCTAACCCTCCCAGTGGCTCAATTCCAAGAATAGATAAGTTACTTTGAAGGTTCTGTTAAGCCAGAGAATGATTTTAAGATTTTTTTTTTTTCTTCCATTTAAGAGCAGAGCAATGAAAGAAGCACAAAAAAATAATGACAGACTTTGTCCAAGGAGTCTGGGGCTGTTTATTAAGTTGGACAGCAGGTTGAGGGAGGTGATTCTCCCCCTCTACTCGGCTCTTGTGAGACCCCACCTGGAGTACTGCGTCCAGTTCTAGGGCCTCCAACATAATAAGGACATGGACCTGCTGGAGAAAGTCTAGAGGAGGCCACAAGGTTGATCCAAGGGCTGGAGCACCAGTCCTATGAGCACAGGCTGAGAGATTTGGGGCTGTTCAGCCTGGAGAAGGCTCCAGGGAGACCTTACAGTGGCCTTCCAGTACCTGAAGGGGCCTATGGGAAGGCTGGGGAGGGACTTTTTACAAGGGCAGGTAGTGATAGAACAAGGAGAAATGGCTTTAAACTAGAAGAGGGTAGATTCAGATTAGATGTGAGGAAGAAGTTCTTCACTGTGAGGGTAGTCAGACACTGGAACAGGTTGCCCAAGGAAGTTGTGGATGCCCCCTGGAATTGTTTAAGGCCAGGTTGGATGGGGCTTTGAGCGACCTGGTCTAGTGGAAGGTGTCCCTGCTGATGGCAGGGGGGTTGGAACTAGATGATCTTTAAGGTCCCTTCCAACCCAAACCATTCTGTGATTTTTAAGTTGTAATCATCATCAAGTTCTACTGAGATTTAAATTCTATGTAATCTTCTGAGTGTTCTCAGTTTGAGTAAAGAATGAAGTGGCGACTTTATGGATGAAAGAAGCAGAATTGCAACTCCTTGTATTGGTTGGGCTGATTTTTAAAAACTGTCTGAGCCTACCTTTAGTAATAGGTGGGATGTTAAGACATTTAGCTAGGGTGGTCTTAGCTTTAGTTTTAACTAACCCCTTTCTACTCTGCTACAATATTACCATACTTACAAAACACATTGCATGTGCATTCCATGTTCACTGAACTTAACCTTAAAGTGATTCTGTAAATGTAACCTCTGAATTTTATTCTCAAGTTGCATTGTGATAACATGTAAAACTATTCTTGCCCCAATTCAGAATTCAGTTTTGTATTAAAAAAATCCTTGACTGCAGTGAAATTAGTTTTCCTGTCTCACAATTAAAATTATTAATATAAATGAATTGTTCTTTATCTTTTAAGGTTGTTTCTTGGATTATAACTATTTGGATATTTGGATCCTTGACAATTTTTTTACTGGCCAGGGTTCTTGGAGGAGAAGTAAGTACCTGTATGTGAAAAGGACATAGAGGGAGGTAGTGTAAAGTCTCTTGGCTACATTTTTCAGTAGTAGATAGATTTTCTTGGTGCTTGGCTTTGGACCTTAGGGACAGGTGCTTTCAATTTTTCAATCACTGAGTTAAATGGGACCCTTTATCCTCCTTTGCACTGCCCTTTATTTAAACTTTTTTTTTTTAAATGGGGCTAACAGCAGTTGTATGATGTCCCTGTGGGCAGAGCACCTACCAGTGTTTGTTTTCCTCCTTGGCCTGATGCAGCTCAAACCCATTAAAGGATAAAAGTCAGTGCATGTTCTTCAACTGCAAAGCCAATTGAAATTCTGGCTTTGCAGAACTGCCAGCTGCCTACATCCCTCTCCAGCTGCCTGCACCAGCAGGGTTGGAGTAGATGTTAGAGCTGTTGGCAAATTGAGTCACTAAGCGATTCAGGTGTAAACAAGAAGAAATGACTTGCAGCAAGGCCCACAGACGGCTACACTGGAACAGTCAGGAGGGCAGAAACTTCTTAAAATGGCTCTGCAGCATAAAATGCATTGAACTGTGTTGTGAAGAACTAAATATTCAGTGGTACTTGATTTTTATGTTTTTACTGTGCATCTTACATTAATAATGAACTAGTGTTGCAGACTTCTTACATTGTTTACATTTATTTTTTTAGATTTTCCTTTTCATCATAATTACTAGTCTTATGTGAACACTGTTTTGAAATAAATAAGTTATAATCAATGTAATTGCATGGTATTTCTGCATAGCAGCATGCCCTTAAATCAATCTGTTTTGTGGCTCAAATGTGAAATTATCAGAATGTATAAGCTGGGGAGAAAGTGTAGGTCTGCACAGTTCACTATGAAGGATCAACGGCCACGAAAGATTGCTTGCGGGATGATCACTGGTCTTGCCATTATTTTTCCTGTTAAATGCAAGAAGCCTTGCTGGGCCCAGGAACATTTCAAACTGTAGTAGGAGAAAATTGGACATTTTAATCCCCACAAAGCTGAAAACAGTTATGGAAATACTTTAAACAAATTTGTTTAAGATAGTCATAATAAATTCAAACTATAAATCAGAAGATTACTGTGCGTTAAGAGGGACCAAGTTCCAGGTCTTCCACTGATGCCAAAAGCATTCATGTACTTTATGAATTTATTTAAGTATAAAGAATACAAGTATGTTAATACACAAAATTATATCTTTGCTGCTTGTGACAGCCAGGACTACAGCTGGTGACTGAGAGATCTGGTGTAGTTCTGTGCTCCTGGGTATTATTTGTAAATGGAGAGGGGCAGCTGAGAACTGCTTAAGGCAGAACATGAAAATGTGAGGGGTGGGTGGAATTAGATCTTTTACCTGTGTAAATACTTACCTTGGAACTGATAAAATTGTCATTTACAGTGTTTAAAGAAAAAAAATATTTCTAAGAGAACTGAATGATTAATTACAGAATTCTAGGGGGTAGCATACAAAACCAATTTTCATACTAGCAAGCCTTCCTTTAGCTGAAATTTCACCAATAGGTAACACATTATCACTATTCATGCTGTTATAACAAGATCAAATTGTGTTTGGTGACAAAGATTCAGTACTACAAAGCTTGTTTTTGTGCTTGAAAATTTCAGGTTGCTTATGGCCAAGTTCTTGGTGTGATAGGATATTCCCTGCTTCCCCTCATTGTCATAGCACCTGTACTCTTGGTGGTTGGATCATTTGAAGTTGTCTCTACCCTAATAAAAGTAAGTTCACTATCATCTATTGAGAATTGTTTACAGTTATTTTTAAGTCACTTTCCTAACACTTTAAGTATTAACCTGTTCAGACAACAGTGTGTCAAAATACTCAGATCCATGACCTGAGCTCTGTCATCCTCATGGTTAACATGGTGGACGTGGCTGCTAAACGAATTCTGTTTGAAATGTTTCTTTTGAGTACTTGGGGAAATACAGCGCTGTTGCTATAACAACGCCTGTTGTTATCAGGTTAGCTTCTGTTTAAGTATTTTGCTGTGTTATAATAGTTGCAATAAAAACAATTAGTATTATCATTTTGAGAAGAGGTTGCATAATTAAACCTCAAAATGAAGAATCTGAAAATAAGCTGTTCCGTCCCTTCCCCCATCATGCAGTTTATTTTTAGTTCCTGCAGCATGAATATGACGTTAGGCATTGTTCTGAGACCTTCCCCTAGTAGCAGCAGTACAAAGCTCTCGCTACCCTTTGCAGAGGAGGTGAGCATTGTTCTGATTTTACAGATGTGGAATGTAAGGCACAAAGCAAGAATAACTTGCCTGATACCGCCTGCTGTTGGATGCCTTTTATGAAACTAGCAGTGTTCCCTGATATATCCCAGAGCTACCCAACGAGCTTGAGCACTTCCAGTACTCCTTAAAACCCTTTTAGGTAGCCTTTGCAGTTATTGCTGAACTTCTGGAAAGGTTGACTGAGAAAAAATTCTGTTACTAGCTAAGCTGTATGTTTTCTGAGTTTTTGTTCTGTTATTTGATTGATTTCTGTCCTTTTAGCTTGCTGGTAAAGAATATAATTGAAGTACAGCTAAAGTGTATGATAAATAACAAAATTGCTGTGTTTGTGACTTGATAACTTGCAATTACTATGAAGTGATACAGTCAGACAGCAAGTCCTTAACTTACAAGTTAACTAATATATAACTTGAAAATAAATATATGTTAATGAAACCTCTGTCACTTGATTATTTCTGACAGTCTTACGTTAACTTCAGGGTGAATCTGTGGAAGGTGCTTATATTTGCATTTTTAGCATGGAAATGCAGGACAGGCCCTGTATGGCCAAAACTACTTATGCTGTGACAAGTACTACTTCTTATGGCTTGCGAGCTCTGTGCTTGGGGAAATATTTTTCACAGTCCTGATTTTGGGGAACTTACAGTGAAATAGTGAAATTCCAGTCAGTTCTTTTCCATTTGCCATCAGCAAAGTAAACGACTCCAGTTATGCACCTCAATTGTTTTAATTGCTGCAATTTTCCTAATGTGTCTTAAGGAATTTAGTCATGATCTTGGTTGTCCTTCTTGTCCATCTCTGCAGTCCCAGATTAGGCAGCAAAAACAGAAGAATGCAATCCCATGTAATTTTTTTTTTTTTCTCCAATGGCAGTTGAATAGGACACATAATCCCTCAAGGGACTTCAGCTCCTCTGACAGAGCTGTGGAAAAAGTTCTTTGCTGCGGTCCTATTATGTCTGCCCTCTTTGCTCTTCTGTTCTGCAGAAGATTAGTGTTCTTACATGCCACTGAGTTTTAAGTATTTTACCTTTTTTATTAATATTCAAGGTGCTGCTAGAGTTTAATAATATCTGATTACTTTTTGCTATAATCTTGTTAGTTTGAGGTTTGAGTCAAGTTTATTGTGCTGAAGACTTCACACACACACACACACACACACACACACACACACACACCCCACCCTCCCAGAAGTGTGCATGCTAACATCATATAGGATAGTGGATATTCATAGGTGATGTTACTTTCTACCAGTCTTCTAAACTGGTTCTTTCTTAACTTAGTAAGCAATGTAGTTTTTGATGCAGATTGTATTTTGGCAGGTTTCTCACTACAGCTGAAAGGAGTAGAAATGTGAGGCTCAGTTACCTTGAGGTGGGGGCACCATAATTAAAGAAAAGCTTATGAGCCAGATGAATCCTGAAATAAAGAAAAAGGTCATTTAACCATCTGGTATATATTGTAGGAGGAAGTATAGCAACTTTTTTTGCTTAAAAGAAAGGGAGGGGTTACTAGTTGGGGACAGTCAAGGTAGAAAAAAATGTTATTAATCCAGTGTCATTTCAGATTATTGGTGCATGTAAGCTTACAGCTTGCTTATGATATCTATATGTCTTACATTAGAGAGAATTTACTGTAGATCCTTCACTGTTCACTTCAAGTAAAAATGTCTCAAATTAAAATAGCATGCCTATTTGTTAAATATTTCTTTAAAATTAAATGAAAATGCATAGTATGTTCTCTTTGTGTGTGTGTGTTTGGAGCTTTTTCCCCAAAAATTCTTTTTGGGGTGTTTCTTTTTAATTATTTTGTGAGAAGAAGTGATTTTTATCTTGGTATTTGGTAAGGTTTTCTTGTGGTGTCGGCTAAGACTGTTCATCTTCTTTTTCAGTTGTTTGGAGTCTTTTGGGCTGCATACAGTGCTGCATCATTACTAGTTGGAGAAGAATTCAAGACTAAGAAACCTCTTCTAATTTATCCAATCTTTTTATTATACATTTATTTTCTGTCCTTGTACACTGGGGTGTGATCTAGTGCAAGATGTGGCCAGAAACCATATTTTAGTCACTTGCAGACTGATAATGCATAAGATTAAGGAGGCTGGAGATAATCCAAGTGACTGTTTTGTATCCAGTTGTCAAGATGTTTTAAGATTGAAGAGCATATTTGTGTATATTATTTAATGAAGCAATTGTAGTTATATAGATTTGTATCAAAGTTCTAGGTTTGTTTAAGACTCTTCAGATTTTAATGAACAAAATAAGAACCTGGTGTTTTATAAGAACGTGTAGCAAAACCACAACTCAGTACCTGTGCCAAAAGCACTAGGGCCAGATTACTATATTGGAGGAGAAAAATGAGAAGTTAACTCTAACAGTCTAAAAGTGCAATTTTTCTTTTGAGCTTAAACACAGCTGGCTTTTCTGGCACAGCAAATTCTGTAGATAATATATATTTATGAAACAGTCCTGATTGTTCACAGAATAATCTGTATAATCAAGACATAAAGATACTACTTTTAATTTAGTGCCTCAATTACTTTGATTTGGCTATTGAGTTTTTATAAATTCCAATTTGTTTTCAACACATGTATATACTGTGTATTTTGTATCTATGTCTTGTGTGTAGCGTAAATACTCCTTGGTTAAGGATGTATATTGGGTTTTTAAAAATTGAAGATACAAGTATTTGAAGTCTTCATTTATTATCTCTGACCAAAGGAGCAAGATATTTACTGCGTGACATAATTAATTAAAATGCATATTTAGAGAATCAAATTATTTTACTTAAAAGCATAAATTTACAGAGAAACAGGTGAACACCTTTTTCAACTGTAGTGCTGGCTTAATGTTGGAGGAAAAGATGAACTATCAAATTTGTGTGATCTTTAAACAATGTTATTTTATGATGACAAAATAAAAATAATTCTTCCCTAACTATGTTTTACAACATCTTGCTCTGTCTTACTTTTAATAGCATGGTATTTAACATGCATCCATTTTTTTTTTTCCCCCAGTACTATTAATCCTTTGTAAAGAGAAATAAAAAAAGATTTGTAAGGCCAGATTCTCCCTCCACTAGATAAGGCAGAAGTACAGCTTTAGTAGCAATGACAGTCTTGCTAATTTTGACTATCTAAGGATTATGTAATAACATGATGACATGTTACATATTTTCTGTGTACTGTGATGATTGCTTATGTAATGGCCCTTATGGTAATGTTTCTTCACAAGGGAAGTCCACTCATATTCACTTTGCCTGGAACTACCTTAGGCATTTGCAATCTTTAGTATTTACTATTGCCAAATAGATCTAAAGTTTAATTTTTTTTTTTTGCTAACAGAAAAAGGTATTCCCCATGTCTTTTGTTGTTACAAATAAAAATCAGCCATGACAGGGTAATAGCAAGGGCTGTCTTTGGTCCCTGATGGACACATTTCCTTACCAGAACTATAGTTTTTCAGCTTTTCAGACTTGCCATTTTGGTAATTTATTTTTACCACTCATTACGGATGCAAAATACATATTTAAAGTCTGACTCTACCACAAACCTTTAGTCTATTCACTCTGCTTTTCTAGCTGATGCTTGTGTTGCTTTTAAACAGAACTACTTAAAAGTTGATGCTGGACATAAACTGTAATACCCTAGCTTGTAGTACATTAAAGGAGGAAAAACTGGTAGAGTGGTTGACTTTTCACCTAACTTTTGACTTGTGCAGAAGTTCTGGTGAAATTACTGCAGAGTCACACCAAAGCAATTATAACAGCAGCTTAGTTCTTGTCTACAAGTGTTTTCTGAGCATTCATGCCACATTCTAAAAAAAAAGAAAAAAAAAAAAAAGGCAGTGAGTTAGTGTATTAAAGAAAGAATGAGAATCTGGTCTTATATCTTTTTTTCATTACTTGTATTTCTTTTTTAACAGGAATATCCAACTAGTAGTAGAAGACTCAACCCAGACCCTCTGAATATCCATAACTAACATCACCCCAAACATGAAGGGCAGGGGCACGTTTAGGTTCCTAGGCTGCCAGAGATCTCTGCTTTAAGCTTAGTTCCTCTGCGCGTAGCGGTTCATTAGATGTCCACAATGGATCCTGTGTGTCTGAACTTACTATGAATATTCAAAGGATGCAAGAATGTTCTATTTAATCTCCACATATCTTAATTTCCTCTATACTAATGTTTTGTGAAATTTACAGTTGCAGTTTTAACTGTTCCTTTCCTCAGGCTTGGCACGTGTGTAATATGCAATGTAGATATGCACTTAACATAGCATGTATTTTGTACACAATTGCAGATTTGCACCTTTTAACCTTACTATCTCTAGGGTCATCTTTTGCATATGCTGTGCAAGAAATATGTACAAACAGTTCTCAAATGGTTCTGATAGTTTGTAATAACTTTGCATTCAACAAACTCATATTTTTAGATGAGGTATGTGTGTAAATACAAGATGTATTTTATAAAAATTTTGAATTAAACTTGTTTACAGAACGTACAAAGCTCATTTATATTTACTGAATTAAGACACATCTATATTTCTATATGTGCCATCAATCTCAAGCTTTGAGGCTATAAATAAGTTTTTGTGATAATATATATATATTAGTTCTGTCAAAACTGGAAACTTGGAAGCACATCCATCTAGCAAAAAGATCCTTTTTCAAGGTGGAACACTTCATTTCAAGGTAGACACATGGGTAATGTACTTTAATAGTGAGATATACTCGTTGGAGCACCTTCTGTATACAGCATATCTTACTTCCTCTTCTACCCACCAGACATACTCTGTTATTAGAAAAAATAAACATGCTTGAGAAGTGAAATGAAATCAGTTGTTTTGATATGGATACAACATACAGCTCGAGATCTGCTTTAGGTTTTGTCACTACCTGTACTGGTCTCCAATGTTTCACTTGAAGTAGTGAAGCAAGCTTAAACTCTGCTTATTTTGCTCTGAGGACAGCTTTGATTAGCCTGGGTAGCACACATACCCGTGGGGTTTGGCTTGGTTTTGTTATACACACCCACTGTATTTTTTAAATCATTTCCCTGCTACAGCAGCCTGTGCTAATTTGTGTCCTAATAAAAATACTCTTCTGTAGGAAACCACGCTGTATTTGAAATGTCAAATACTATATTTAAGACCATCCGTAGCATAAAAGCTTTCTCAAATATTTTTGCAGAATATGTCACTTAGAAGAATGCCTTCGGGTAGCCTTGGCTATACACGGGGGTATGGGGAAAGGTGAAAAGGGAAAAACTCAACAATACAAAAGGTCGTGTTATTATTTATTATAATACCTTTTTATTCTAACAGGCATTATACTTGGGTCATTTGGGAAGCACGGTGAATACTGCTTCAGCACAAAACGCTTTCATTGTTGAATGACTCTACTTTTGGGGCTTAATATAAAAATAAACCCAGGCCGGAGCCCCTGTGTGTGTTCGCACACGAACACTCCGCGTCCCCCGCCGCCGGCGGCCAGGGCCGCCCTTCCAGGACCGGCCCCGTTCCCCAAGGCGGCTGCGCCAGAGTTTCCCGCTCGGTGCCAAAGCCGGGGGCAGCCGCGCTCGGGGCTCTGGCATCGCTCTTCAAGCACAGACAGAGAGCCAGTCCCAGAGCCAGGCTGCGACAAGCTGCCCGCCCCGCTCTCCCCGAG